GAAATAACGTCTGTAGGTAACACAAGCATATGAGATTTGAATGTCATTAAACATGTCTGAAGATACGTGTCTTAAAACTGGTGGTTGCTAACAAGTTAGTTGCTTTTTCTTTGTTGGCTCTGGAGAAGCAAGTCAATGCAATAGTTCATGCTTCTGGATAATGACATTTTCTTACTTAGCTCCGAAAATGCATCTTAAATTGTATCACATTTCTATATTACCATTACAGATTGGAAACAAAATCAGTTCAGAAAAAGTAGAAATGTACAATATACTACATGATAAATGTTTTTGGTATCATGAGCCCCATCCACTGCCGGCCTTAAACAGCCAGCATGTCCTTTCTCTGCTCATTTTGAACTTTAAAGCAGCCACTACTTTCCACCGTGATCTACAGCACACATTAGCTTTCCAGCTCCTCTGCAAACATAGGCACGTGTCTCGTCTTGTGCTGTGGCTTAGTGGACGAGCTACTAACGAACACACACCGGGGGAAAGTCCACCTCTTCTGTCAGTTTGAAGGCTAATGGTAGTTTGCAGAATCACTGCTAACAGCTTAAAAGCATTCCTGCAGATGATGTCCTGCAGGATTTAATCCGGATCCTGCAATTGTACAGAAGTCAGGCTTTGAGTTATTGGCTTGAGAGTTACAGTTTCAGTGTCATTTCAGTTGAAAATAGATACGGTCCAGACAAAGCCCGATCTTTATGCAAGTGCCTGAGACATCAGAATCCAGTTAGTGTCATGCGGCAGGAAGGAGGGCCAGGTATGCTGCATAATCACAGCACGCTGCAACAAACTACAGCCTGCTGTGTCTGTGTGGAAGAGGCAGACTTGACTTTAAACTGTTCTGAGTACAGTTTCATTGTTTACATAGTAAAGACTTACTGAGCACGTCTTTTTGAAAGCTTCATTTGATCAACTGAGATGTTCTTGTTGGGGATTGAGATGGTAATGTGTGTGTGAATGCACTCCCTGTGGAAAAGGACAGCATAGCCAGCTGTTCTCTTCATTTTGAGGAAATCGCTGCCTTAGCCTTTGTCTTATGTCTTTGTGTCTGTGTACGAGCCTGAGCATGGTGTTTGCACTGGCAATGAGATGACAGGCAGGACACCAGAGAGAAATCCTTGATTTCATTGAAAGGCTCCTCCACATCAGAGACGGATGGAGATTTACAGCGTCAACAGGCACATATGTTTTATTGAGCTGGTATGGATGTTAGTGGGTTAGTTTGATCACAGGCTACTGCTTTAGATCCAACAGTACGTTTCTGCATTCCCTCTGCAACTTCCTTAAAGGTGGGGAAGGCAATTCACTTCAGAAACACTTGTTGTTATATCCCATGGAATGCTCTTAACGTCCGATAGCAATGAACACATTCAGTGCTTTGACAATAAATACATACAAATATTTCATCTGTGGAAGCTGTGGCGCTGTAAAAAGCACGACCAATCATCTGCCTCGGCCCACGGCAAATAACTGGATGGCCTACCTGCCTGTCAGCCTTCCATCTGCGCACAAACTTATCTCGTGCCCTCATTGGTCACGTGCACGTTCGTGTGTGTTGGAGGAGGGGCTCTGGAAGGAAGTCTGAAGGAAGAGGCAGATTTTTTCCGGTTGTGTATTTTCAAATTCTAGCGCACTCGAGCTGGTTTCTCCGTTCCTACCTTTAAGTCTTACATTGGTCATGTGTGATTTCTATAGCTGCAATGTTGGAAAATGAGCTTCTTCCAAATCCTAAACAGAAGCTCCACAGGTAGGAGAACTTACTGTTTACCATGTAATGATGGGTTCACATACACATTAGTCTCTAACTTACTTTGACCTTCTTATTTTGAAGACCCATGGTGTGTTAAGACAGCTACAACAATGAAGCAAAAAGCAGCAGGATGTCATCTTCAATGGAACCCCAACGATGTAGGGGCCAACAGGACGCATGAAAGCAGAGCAGAGACAAGTTGTTGGTTGTTATTCACACAGGTGCAGACAGAAACCTGCCCAGTCTGAGCTGGTATGTAAATGAAGTGCTCTGTCATACATACCCAGCAGCTACGGATAAAGTCAAAGGCAAGATTCAGCCTGCCTCCTTCTCTGTCTCAGTGCGTCTGAGCACATGGTGGCCTCAAGTCTACACACTGACACATTTGTGCTTTAGTGCTCTGACTGTGATTGGGATGTGGCTGGCTGCCTTGTCCACTGTTAAAAGGATCGATGTATGTCTGCTTTCACTTGTTCTTCCAGCTTGTCAATCTTATTTTAATCTGTACATGGCAAATATTACAACCCTCAATCATTGCATCCTTTCATGGTCTGATTTGTTCTGGTCTCTGGAATCTGGATACATGTATTCATATGTAAATGTTAAATGGACAGTGATTATATAGCCGGTATAACCCAGTCTTTACGACCCCTCAAAGGCGCTTTACATTCTACAAGTCATCATTCACACCTTGTTTATACAGAGCAGTGCACTTTGCTCAAGTAAGCTAACAATCACAAATATTCACACACCGTTGGCCGGGCCAACTCTAAGTATTTCCCAAGGACACAGCGCCATGTTGGCTGCAGAGTATAACCCCCAACCTTCCAATTGAAGGACAACCGTACTCCCTCGCAGCCGCAGTCGCCCCCATAAGGTGGACTCGGACTAAACAGTGAGACATCGTGAAAAAAGTAGGAGAAGTTCTTACTTATATACATTGCAACTTTAAGGTCACGTTCTTTTTGCAATCAGGACCATCAGTGCTGTTCCAATCTAGCTGGATTCATCCGTTTATGCTTTCTGACATTATTCCATCTCATTTCCTCGTTCTGGCTGAATGTTCAATTGTATCACATGATGATCTAATGGCTATATGATAATCCATGGAGTTGCCAGCATCAGTCATTCCAATGTGTACCTGTTCACAGCATACATCTTGCATCTTAAACATTGCAAAAGAGAGAACATTTGTACTATTGTTGCCTTTTGAAGGCATGATGTTTTGTGTCCTGCAGTGAAGTAAACAATACGAAAGCAGAGGAATACTTGGTGCCAAAGCCTCCCATGTTCTGCAAAGGTCAGGTGATGGAAAGCCTGCAAGCTGTAGGCTGGTAGTTGTCTTGAATAGAAACACAAGGCATACAGAGAGACTGGTAGCAGTGAGAGATGTGTCTATCTTCATCAGGCCTGCCCCGTCTCATAGGTTTGTTTCTAGGCCACAGTGCAGCTCATATTTAGTGTACACCATTATTCATCTCATATGGTGAAGGATATCCACTTCAGGAATTGAAATATCATTTGTATTGAGGATCTGCTGCTGCTATAGAGACAGTGTTACAGATAAGAAGAGTAGAAGTGAAAAGAGAGTGTGTTGGGTGGGGGATTTGGGAAGGGATGATGTCTGTGAGATTTGGGTCTCGAGCTTTGTGGGGGGTCGTGTGTGTGTGTGTGTGTGTGTGTGTGTGTGTGTGTGTGTGTGTGTGGTGTGTGTGTGTGTGTGTGTGTGTGTGTGTGGTGTGTGTGTGTGTGTGTGTGGGTGTGTGTGTGTGTGTGTGTGTGTGTGTTTACGGAGGGTCCAGTTGTGGATGACAGCAAGAGGGAGTTTAGCCATCTGTGCTATTCTGTGTCTTTCCTCTAAAACACAGGGTGCCGTTGTTGCCATGGTCCCTTTGTAACTCAGCTCTCCTGAGTTGAGAAAAGAGTGTTTTCCTTCAGTTGTTTCAATAAGACAGGTTCATTCAATCCAACCCAAGAGGAGCTAGATTTGAAGTCAAAGTGAGTTTCTGGAGATGCACGCCCTTGTTAAACGGAGCTGATCCCTCTCCCAGCTCTCAGCCACTCTTTGTTCGGGCCCTGTCATCAACCTCATGACTGCGATTCCCTCCAGTTGGAGAACAAAGGGACTGATCTGAGGATTAGGCCTGGAGATACCACCAGGCCTTCTGCCTGCCGGGACGCTCACTACCTGTTCTTCGAGTGGGACATTTGGAAAAGCAGGAAAATACAGGAAGTACTAGCTTGAAATGCAAATGACTCAATGGACTCAAGAGAAGAGAGGCTTGGCTCAGAGTAGAATAACGTTCTGTGACGAGGAATGACCCGGCTCTCCTGGAATGCTGTAAATCTGCTATTTTGACATCGGAGGTAGAAAATGAATTAGTCACAAAGCATAAAACTTGCTCAATGTTTAATGTTGTATTCTAAAAATGTTCAAACACAGAGGTACAAATTAGGCAGACCAAACATTTCCAGATGAAGGGAAAGTCGCATGTCACAGTATTCCTAATATTTGGTCAGAAAACTTCTCTTTAAGTATTTAAGTTCTACTAGAAATGAGTGATGTGTCGGCTCTTTGAAGTGAACGACGGGAGCCGGCTCGTTTTGTTGTTAAGTAATACAAGACAGAATGATATGACGATCTCCGAGCTCCGGGTGCTCCGGCGTGCAGTGACATCCAAGGATTAGAGACGGTTGGATGCTGCTGTTTTGAGCATTGCAATACATGTATTTTCATTATGTTATTTATTTATGATTGTTTTTAGGCTCAGTTTGTATAGGTGTTGCTATCTGCTTTGTGTAGCGTGGTTCTACAATCAGAGTTACAAGGGTCTGTAAATGCAATGAAAACAATTGGCCACAGCAAATCATTATATTAAACATGTCATTTTTACTTTTGAATGCTTCAATACAAAGGTGATATATGTGTACTACACAATATATACATCATTAGTCCAAACAGGGCTACATTTGATTGAATTATAAAAGGTATATTTCGCAGATAAACATAGTAACCCCGCCCCCTTACGGCTCTTTGGAACGGCTCTGGCAAAGGAACGGAGCCATAAGATCCGGCTCCCTTCAAAGAGCCATAATTCCCATCACTAGTCTCCAGCACCAGAGTTGAATAGATTGCTTTGTGTCACTGTTTCTCTTCGTCAGTTCACTTTAATCACACTAGGTGGCAGCATAGGCGCACTTCAAATTCTCCCCGTTTCAGATTTGTCTTTACAAAATTAGGGTTTCCAAAAATTGCACCATGTTCTGGACCGAAGCCCAGGTGATGCTTATGTGCTGATCTGGTGTTAGCAGGGCAACTCTCACTATACGTTCATTGAGAAGCTCACTCACCCCCAGACAAGGTTGGATACTTTAATGAGGCGCAGGGCATTTAGATCAATGTTTGGTCAGGTGGTGTTCAGTCATGGTGCAGGGCTCAACGTGTCTTTTATTGACTTATTGTGTACCAAATGTATCAACATGAGATGTTGTGAAGGTTGCAGGAGGCTAGTGGCATGCATAATGAAGCAGGAGCTCAGAAACATCCAAAGGTTCTGTTACCCACAATCCTTTGCAACAGAGCATATTCAAAACAGCCTTCAACACAAGATATCCATGGCTGTAGCAAATGGTTATTGCATGAATGTGTGATTCAGAACAACACAAAGGGAATTCAAGAGATACATGTGGTTTATTTTTGATCAAATGTAATTTAAATAGCATTTAGATGTATACATGTGTTCTATTGTGTCTCCACCAGGTGGCTCTGCTCGGCTTGGACCTCTTATCTGCCTTAGTGACGAGGTTACAGGAGAGATTTAGGTCCCACGTGGGAACAGGTAAGATTCAATATATTATATCTTGTAATAAATTATCATTACACAATATCATATTTGTGTAATGTAGATTAAAGCCTCTTACTTCAAATGTCTAAAGAGGAGCTTTTAGAACCTCCCACAGATACGCCCATTGAATCAAATACATCGAAATAAAGAGAAATATGGAGTTTAAAGGTCAAGGTAAATTTGAATGTTGCGTTTTCTTGCAATTTTACAATTTCCAGAGCTTTTGTGAAATCTCACCAGTCTCTCATTTAAACTAAACAATTCTTTAACAATATGAGTTAACATTTCCAGTAAACTAGAGATTCAGTTATCAATGATCAGTGCACCCCCGAACGTCTTAGTTCACATTTGAATGCAGGCATAATGGCTGAGATCCTGTCTTTGCTTTGAGGACAGTTCTCTTCTACCACGGTGACTGCTGCCCACTGTCCGCCCCTCCTCTTTTTTTATGGAGGACGGAACATTACATTACATTACATAAGTATAAATAAATGTGTAAATAAATGTATGAATAAATACAGGAATAAATAAATAAATAAGGAAATAAATACAGGAATAAATAAATGAGGAAATAAATAAATAAATGAGGAAATAAATACACAAATAAATAAATAAAAGAATAAATGCAATGATCCAATAATCTCCAATGGCTCTTAAACCAATAACCATAAATAAACCTGAGTACATTTGAATTGTCAACAATTACAACTGTGGATAAACCATGGATGTATAAAGATAAGGGCTAAACAGTAATGCTCCTCCTGCATTCGAATCAGCGTGGTTAGCCAGGCATTAGAAGTAGAGCCCAATCTGCCAGAAATGATATATTATATATATATATATATATTATTTCCATATTTATTTATGCATTTATTCTTTTATTTATTTATTTCTATATTTATTTATTTCCGTATTTATTTATTTATTCCTGTATTTCTTCACACATTAATTTTTTTATTTGTTTATACTTGTGTTCAAATAAGAACAAATGACTCTACAATTCAAACTCCTCCTTCTATGATGACTGTTTTGAGGGGATGTCTGAAAGATTGATTGGCCATAGGATCATTTTCAATACCCATACATATGTTTGTAATTCCTGGTCTGGTGTCATTCTTCTTGGTTTCCTCCTGCTCTTTCCCTCAGTTCTTCCCAGCCTTATCGATCGATTGGGAGATTCTAAAGACCAAGTGCGAGAACAGGACCAAACAGTGCTGCTAAAGATCATGGAGCAAGCTGCCAGCCCACAGGTACCAACACACACTCACACACAGCCTGAATTCATTCCAATGACTGCTGCTTCCTGATTGAGCCGACCTTAGTGCTTGTGCGATGTGGTGAAATTGACCACTGAGCTGTTGTATTGAATCTAATCCTCAAACCTCTGATATTATAACCCAACACATCTCTCCCTGTTGCCCTACCTGAAACCCTTCACATTGACTTGCCCTGATGTGTCTCGAGGACAAAAACTGCCCAACAAAATGTTTGTGACCAGTTTTTGTCCTGAATGATTATTATATCATTATTAAGAGAGCTGAGGTTTTACTTCCAATTTCTGAGAAAAACGTGTCAAAATGGATGCCATATTAAAAAAAACAACAACACATTGATTATATCTTTATATATTATATCTTTGAATAGCCAGGCATGGCGGACTGGTCCATTTCCTTTACTGTTTGTATTCTCAATGATCCATTGACTGATAATCCATTGTGTTGTGTGTGTTGTTATAGTATGTGTGGGACCGAATGCTGGGAGGCTTCAAACACAAGAACAACAGGACCAGAGAAGGAGTGTGCCTTTGTCTCATCGCCACGCTGAGCATGTGAGTCTCACCTTTCTTATTGCACGTGCACTGTCCGTGTGGATGAGACCTAGTTTCATCGTTTTGTCATGTGGATGATACACATCTTTCCATTCTTGCAAATTAGAATGGATACATGCAGTTTATGAAATACAATATCTTTAGCTAGGCAGACATCTTAGTTCAAAACTGCCTTTTTTTTAATTACATGTTATTTTCAAAAAATAAATGACTGATGTTGTTCAGCTTGACTTCCTTTCACTACCCTGCCCCGTAGGTGCTGTATATCTCCTTGTATCTGTTCATTGGGCTGAGTGATATACTTATTTTCTTCCAGACATGGAGCTCAAGGCCTGACCCTGAGTAAAATTGTTCCCCACATATGTAACCTGTTGGGGGACCCCACAAGTCAGGTATGCACAGTCATGCTTTTCTTCCATCTGCTTTGCCACCGTAGTCAAATTGTATATTTGTATATTGTACATGTATAATGTGCATATAGTCTATGGTAAGAACAAAGACCCAGGTGCAAATCAAATGTTGTGGGTTTCAGGTGCGTGACGGAGCGATGAGCTGCTTGGTGGAGATCTATAGACATGTGGGGGAGAGGGTGAGGATGGATCTCAGCAAAAAGGGCCTGCCACAGTCACGGTACGACCACAGAACGCTGACCCTCCCTCCCTCCCTCCATCCTCTTCTTCTTTTCTGCTTGGCCTCCTACCATACTCACTTATTCTTCCAAATACACATAAAGGCTCTGTGGACACAAAGGTAGCAGGCTCCAGACCTGTAGCACCCCCACTAGTGGCAGAATTAGGCATTGCAGCATTGCAGTGAGAACCCTGATACGTGGGAAGATTTACACTACGTCTTTATTGTATTAGGTTCATCCATCTTTCACAAATGCAGTCTCTTACAAATTATATATATATATATCTATATAAGAACATTTAAAAAACAACCTTTTGTACGCTTATATCCTAAATGGATCATTTGGATATTTAATGTGCGGTTGTATTAGTTACCTATCCTGAGTCAGTGTATTCTACAGTAGATGCAGCAGTAGGAACACTGCTGTGGACGGGGCAGCAACAAAACGTATTGTGGTCACCCAAAAAAATCAATGTCAGTTTAAGTGTTGTGCTATATTGAGAATATTCTCATCACTTTGCGTTCCTGTCAGACAGCCCTTTTTCACAGAGAACCGAAGCCTATATCTTTGCTTCTGTATCTTCGGAGCCATCAGACTCCACAAAAAAACCCGGTATTTGAACCTCTCACCGTCTAACACTGCCTCTATCTGTTAGTCTGTTTGTGTTATTGTGGGAATGTGGTTACCTCCAAGTGTGTTTTTATCAATGGAGTGAGTCTGGTGGTTTCTGAGAGCAGAGACGTCTAGCGGTGTCACTTCCCTGTCAGAGATGCTGTCTGACAGCAAAGTCAAGTTGTAAAAATCTTGTAATTATAGTGTGCACTAAGACTGAAATACATTTTTCAAAATGTCTAAAATGGATTTGATGCTGACCTAATTTCACATCAGTACTTACCTTCCGGCTGGTTTCCTGTCTGTTCCTTAAACTCCCCTTAACTGTGCTTTGTCACAGATTGTATTAAATATATGTTATTATTGCAGTGTTTCTTCAAAATGGCAATTTGTTTTATTTCCGGTCAGCTTTTGGTCACTTTATCTGAAATCTCTGGCTTTGTCAACCTTTAATTTGGGCAGTAAACTATAAGTTCCCAATGGGCACCAGCATTTGGAAAGGGGGGGGCTGCATTTAGTGTTGCAGATATTAGAGAAGTTCTGTCTGTTGCTTATAGAGAACATATCAAAAAGACACACTATGTAATCATTTTCTTAGCACACATGTATTTGTACATGATATTTAAAGAAACAAAAAGTGCCCCATGTGCAGCTCCATAGTCTAAGTTCAGAAATAATTACTGAGGTGAAGTTATTTTTGTTTCACCTTCCATATCATCTAGGTGATTTCACACAACCTTGGATTGGGATTATCTAGATTCCTATCTCTAACTACCCTAGCTAACCTTGTGTTTGATATATTTGAAACCTACCCTTGGCATAACACTCCAGCCACTGAATCTGACTTACAGTCCTCCTTCTCTTAAAGGGGACCTATCATGCAAAATGCACTTTTTGATGTCTTGTATACATAAACATGTGTCCCCGGTGTGTCAGGGAACTCACGCAGCGTCAGAAAATAAAACCCTCTCTCTTTCCCTCCGTACCCAAATCTCTAAAAACGGGGGAACAACGGAGCTGATCCAGATTTGTGTCCGATATGACGTAATATCTGAAATGTGGACTCACGGCACTATCAGAAAGTTGCTATCAGAAACAATGGACGTAATATGGCCGGTGCATGTTCACATTAGCATCGCTAACACACAGAGCTAACCTGTACTGGAGAGCATGTGTGTGAAGAAGCAGGAAATAAAAAGGAACTCACCTTGTGGTATAACCGGCAAGAGAGAAAGCCTTTGAGCTCCATACTGTTTCAGAAACAATCCTTGATAATCCATGATATGGCGTTTCATCACGGCAGTATTTCGTTTAGACAGTAGCTGCCGGGTCCCGCATGAGCTCAGCCCCCTCCTTTTTATTTGTTATCCATTTCTTTATTTTTTAAAGCTTTATACCCATAATCAGCACTTTAGAAACAGGAAGTGAAATAGAGGGATATGAGGCATGGCTAGAATGGGTGATCTGTTTGGTATTTTGAGCAAAACACTTCATAGACATATTTTTTATATATTTGTATATATCTGAGACCTATGCTATTGCCTACAAAGAGCATGATAGGTGACCTTTAAGCATGCCAGAATTTCACAGGTCAGGTTTGGATTTTTTAAAAGACTTTTATTTTATTATCGTATTATTTCTGTTATCTTATTGTCTTCCTCGTCCTCTTTTTTCCAACACTGGACGACATGCATTCCACCAGCAACCCCCCCCCCCCATTTGTCATGTGTGTGGCAGCTTTGTACACCGTCTATTTTGGTCCTGTCCCTCCCTGCTGCACAAAGGGGGGAACTTCTCACATAGGAAGTGATGGATGGTAAAGGGCAGGGTCCTTTTCCACAAACCATCTTTCTCTCTGCTTCAAACTTCTGACACTTTGTATTTACTCTCCTTTTACTTTGTATCATCTTTACATACTTATCAATACCTCTTATTTTCCAGGTTGAATGTAATCTTCAGCAAATTTGATGAAGTCCAAAGATCCGGGAACATGATGCCATCGTCCGTCTCAGGTCAGTTGTTCTCCTCTGGCGTTTCATTTGCCCAGGTGTGCTGCTCTTGAACCTTTTTCCAACAATAACGTATACCTACAGTTTAAAATGTAGAAATGTTTTCTGGACTGTGGAATGTTTTTTATAAGATAAGAGATAAGATGGTGCTCTATCCTCTCTGTGCTAGCATCATTGTTAATGTGACACCCAGCACTGTGGGAAATGGAAAAGATGCACAGTGAATATCAGGGCTATTGTAGTCTCACTATAACTATTCTGACCTGAGGACAGCCTGTTGATCTGCCGCAGCTTGGGGGTTGTTATTTAGTGCATGAGAAAATACGAAAGTGCATGAGAAAATACGAAAGTATCTGACTGCAGAGTTATGTTGCCAGCTTTAATTTTCTCCACATCAATGTCTCTCGTACTTCTCCCCTGTATCTCCAGTTATCTTACGTCACACAGCATTGTGGTGTATTGGCTTGTGTTCCGTGTGTGTGTGTGTGTGTGTGTGTGTGTGTGTGTGTGTGTGTGTGTGTGTGTGTGTGTGTGTGTGTGTGTGTGTGTGTGTGTGTCAGAGATGGGGACTCGAGTTTGTGACTCGGACTCGAGTCGCACTTAAGTCGCACACACAGAGACTTCAGACTTGACTTGGACTCCTGCTCAAAAGACTTCGGACTCGACTTGGACTTGTGTTTTGGGACTCGTGAACAATCATTGTGTTTTCTATTTTTGGCGTATTAAAGGTGTGGTAGGTAAGTTTGAGAAACCGGCTCGAGATCGCTAGAATTTGAAAATACACAACCGGAGAAAATCTGCCACTTCCTCACAGAGCCCCTCCTCCAACACACACGAACGCGCACATGACCAATGAGGGCACGAGATCAGTTTGTGCCCCGATGGAAGGCTGACAGGCAGGTAGGCCATCCAGTTACTTTAGCCGGGCCGGCTATCGGGATGTTAAGAGCATTCCATGGAATATAACAAAAAGTGTATCTCGAGCCGGTTTCTCAAACTTACCTACCCCACCTTTAACATTAACATCATGGTAACACCATGGCGACCGGCGGCACACCTGCATCTGTATCGCTTGTAATTAGGTTCAACTATAAAAACTTCGAACAAAACGCCGGCGGCACCAACAAAAGGAGCGCACACTGCAAAGTCTGCAATATTAAAATCAAGGATGCTGGTGCAACAACGTCAAATTTCATCAGGCACTTGAAAACTCACCCGGAGAGGTCAGTCACATTAACGCATATGGACGGTTAGCAAACATGTTTAGCTCAGCATCAGCTATGTAATGTTAACTTAGCTTGCTACTAGCTTTGTAACTGAATATTTGAAAAGATGAGTGAATGTTTGCTTGTCACACTTGTTTGCGTTGAGTGGCGTTGACATCCAAACTCTTGACATGACATAAAAAAGGTCGGTAACGTTAATCATTACGTTCCGCTTGCCACCATCTACTGGCTAACGTTAAACGTAGAACAATACATAGTTACATACATAAATACATCTGTCGGTTTATAGGCAGGTTACAGGTTTATTGTTGACCACGTAACGTTAATGTTACAGGTTTATCAGGTTACTGGGTTTGAGTGAGAGGATAGAGGAATATGTTTATTTATAGTAGACTTAAAAGATGTAATTAGAGACCCAGTGTAATTAAACAATACGGTTGCAGAGGTCACATTTTAACATTGTTGTCCACTGGCCAAATGGCTAGCCTAGTGAATGTTGAAATGTTACCAGCCACTCAATAGATTGCCATTGTTATTTGTGGCTGGTGCGTGCAACATACAGTACCAGCCACTTGCATGATTTACCAGCATCTGGCTGGTAAATGGTGTTAATGATAGATATCTCTTTTGGAACAGGTCATGTTTTAATATCACCAGTTCAGTATATTTCAGATAATATTGCAGCAATAGTTTTTTAGTTGCAAATGGCACAGAACAAATGTTTACTTTGAAGTACTTTTAACACAGTTTCCCTGCAGGGGGATTAATAAAGTATTGTGATTCTGATTCTGAAGTGTTTTGCTTATAAGTTGTTTGCATTTAGCTAAAGTGTGATGTTTTTCCTCATATTGCATTGCAATAGCCTGTTTAAAGTGATCATATAACAAACAACTAATCAGTACTGATACTGTATGCTAATAGATATAGGAGTGATAATAATACAGTAAATGCTTTGAATGTCTTAGATATAGCTGTGCAGTATTCTTAACAGACTGGATAGCAGCAGACAATAGAAGGCTTATTACAACCAGAAGAGACATGAGACTTTTATTTTTTAGAGACTTGAGACTTGACTTGGACTTGTGACCAAAGACTTGAGACTTGATCAAGTCGCACCCCACAAAGACTTGAGACTTGACTTGGACTCGTGACCAAAGACATGAGACTTGATCAAGTCTCACCCCACAAAGACTTGAGACTTGACTTGGACTCGTGACCAAAGACATGAGACTTGATCAAGTCTCACCCCACAAAGACTTGAGACTTGACTTGGACTCGTGACCAAAGACATGAGACTTGATCAAGTCTCACACCACAAAGACTTGAGACTTGACTTGGACTCGTGACCAAAGACTTGAGACTCGATCAAGTCTCACCCCACAAAGACTTGAGACTTGACTTGGACACTTGTGAACATCTCTGGTGTGTGTGTGTGTGGGGAGGAAGACAGGGTTTTACAGAGCAGACGGACAGCCCGCAGCTAGAGATGAGATGTCTCCACAGGAGGTGGGCTCACACTAGAGCTTTAGATGTCCCTCTGTGGAGCTAAAGACCAAACCACGCGTCCAGAGGCATCCCTCCCAAATGTATCAATATACCAAAATAGACAAAGCAGAAACATTAAAGGGAAGATTACAATTTCCCATGAAATCAAAATAGATGTAATGTTTTGATTTCCTTAGTGCATATTCTTGTTTTTCTGGTAACAATTGTTGTTGACTCATATTTGTATACTCATTTATCACCCAGTTAAACCTTCGGGACCAGTTCCCCCCATGCGACTCTCCTTCACCAGCAGCATTGCCTGCTTCGTATTGTGGCTTGTATTCGTATAGCTTCACTCTAAAAACATCTTCTTCAGGGTGGCCTTCATCCTCCATTCCAACCCTGTCCGATTAGTTGGTACAATCCGCTGGCATGGCCCCACGTAAAGACTAAGATGGATATCACAGCCTGTGCCTGTTGTGCCCTAGCAGTGAGATACTTACATGCTTACAAACAGGACAATGACACATGGAAACTTCAAATAAAGAGGCAGATGTGTTGTCCTCTTCTGAGTGCAGCAGAGTTGTGTCCTCTGTGCAGGTGGAGTAGCTTTGACCCCTTTACTGCTGACTCTGTGTCATTCCTGCTGACTGCATCCACACTGTGTTTGCAGAGGCAGCAGCTGAGCCCAGGAGAACACACTCAATGTTTCTAACACCTTACGCTATCTCTCCCAACGTTTGTGGATTTCAACTGCCACCACAACTTAATGAATCATGTCAGTCACACACACTGAGGAACATGCAGCGACACAGGAGTGCTGAAGAATGTGCTCCTGGGTAGAGTATGTTTATTGATTGATTTATGATATTGACTATTGGAATCTTGTAATACTTGTAGGTGATATGACTCGACTTGTTATTTGCATTTGAAGTAAAAATGCTGTTTGGACGATTAGGCAAACATGACTCATTTTAGCAGTGATTGGATAGCCGAGCATCACATCCATCATACTCAGCTGCTCGGCTCCTCAATGGCTCCACTCCTCATTCACAGTTGCTCTGATAATGGCTTTGTGGCTGACGACTCATTTCAATTGAAATACATTTGCCTCAGAGCTGAGAAGAATGTCTGCTGTAATGTAGCTGCGCTGTGAGACATTTCTAAAGTAAACTCTGTGTCTACAAGACAGAGGAGTAGTTATCCCCCAGTCAAAAAGCTTCTTCTACTGAGGTTATCATATGAAACTTTGAATATTTGTCATCATAGTTTATTGTAAGGGAAACTTCTGTGTAGGAGCAATGCAGTGGGAGTCAACGACTCAGGAAAGAGACACGGGTCGTCGCACGCATCTCTGCTTGTCTAGCTGACATCTCTCAGTGGATGTCTGATCATCACCTCAAGCTCAACCTTGACAAGACTGAGCTGCTCTTCCTTCCGGGAAAAGATTGTCCCACTCTTGACCTAACAATCAACATTTGCACCTCTGTTGTTTCCCCGACTCAGACTGCAAGGAATCTGGGTGTGACCCTAGATAACAACCTGTCCTTCACTGCAAACATCGCTGCTGCAACCCGTTGATGCAGATACACGCTTTACAACATCAGGAAGATACGTCCCCAGCTGACCCAGAAAGCCACGCAGGTTCTGGTCCAGGCTCTCGTCATCTCACGCCTAGACTACTGCAACTCCCTCCTGGCTGGTCTACCTGCATGTGCCATCCGACCTCTGCAGCTCACCCAGAATGCAGCGGCTCGTCTGGTCTTCAACCTTCCTAAATTCTCCCACACCACTCCGCTCCTCCGCTCCCTTCACTGGCTTCCGGTAACTGCTAGAATCCACTTCAAGACACTGGTACTTGCGTACCATGCTGCGAATGGATCTGGCCCTTCCTACATCCAGGACATGGTTAAACCGTACATCCCAGCACGTGCACTCCGCTCTGCATCAGCCAAACAGCTCGCTGCACCCTCACTGCGAGGGGGACCCAAGTTCCCATCAGCAAAAACACGTGGGTTTACTATCCTGTCTCCTAAATGGTGGAATGAGCTCCCCATTGACATCAGGACAGCAGAAAGCTTACACACCTTCCAGCGCAGACTGAAAACTCATCTCTTTCGACTCCACTTCGAGCGATATAACTATTAACAAAGCACTTTTATACTAATAAAGGACTGGCTTATCTAAAGCCAGTTGAGTAGCACTTGAAATGTTTTTTCTCTATGAAGCCTGATGTACTTATATGATTCTGTTTTCTTCAAGTTTGTATTTTGTTGGTCGAACGCACTTATT